GAGGCCTGCTTCTCCGTCTCCCACTCCCCCTGCTTGTGTTCCCTCTCTCGCTGTGTCTCTCTCTGTCAAATAAATAAATGAAATAAAAAAAAAAAAAAAAAAAAAAGAAGATTCTGAATCAGCTGATCTTTGAGAGTTGCCATTTTGGACTTAGAACCAAAAGGAATCGGGAGTGCACGTCGGGCGGGCGCGCGAGGCTGGATCCGGACTTGGCGGCAGCGGCTCCGACCATGAGACTGGATCTTATTTAAACCTGCTTTAACTGGTTTTCCACGCCACCACTGCGGCAGGGCAAGGGCAGGGGCTGCCTCCTTCCTGACGGGTGAAGGGAGAAGTCTACTCCCCACTCAGCCTCCATCAGTACACAAGGCTGGGGGGTTGGGAGTTTGGAGTCCCCACGGGCTCTCCACTCACACAGAGGTAGAGGTGGTGCTGTTATCACTGGGTGGTGAAAGTCCCGACCCTCCCCCAGGCCTCGTCAGATACACCGGGCAGGAAGAGGGAGGGGAGTCTCTCTCCAGCCAGTTGTGGGTGGAGCTCCAGGGCCAGGATCCCCACGTGTTCTCCACTGACCCTGTGGGCAGGAGGGGGGCCTTGTTACTGCCCAGGGAGTGGGAGGAATGAAAGTCCCGGCTCCCTACCTGGCCTCCTCTGGCATCACCTCAGACACATAAAGGAGGAGGACACCTCATTACAGCCCGGCAAGGATGGAAGCCCAGGCTCCCCGCTCGGCGTTTGCTGACAGGGCCACTGTCTTCCCTGTAGTGTTTGGCTGGAACAGAGCAGTTATTATCTGAAAGTTTTGTGTCTTGTGAGATTGCCCTTTTCTTCATTCCCTGGCTAGAGAGAGCGGTTTTTGTTGGGGCTTTTTTATGCATGCCCCTTTTGGAATTTCTCGGTTGCCAGCTTCCTTAGCTCCAAGTCTGGGATATATTTGGCAAAAAAACAAAACACAAGAAACAAACACAAGACGGAACTCACCACCATGTATTTGCTTACATCCCAATGTCCCTAACCAGTCCGCCTTGTTCTCTCCACCTTTCAGAGTCTTCTTACGTTTGCTTTATATATAATTTCCCAGGGTTTTGTTGTACTTCATTAGAGAAATAGAGAGAAATCTATCTATTCCATCTTCCCAAAAGGGTTTTGTTTGTTTCTAACATCCAAAAGTTCAGACATAATGTTCATAGTTTCTGCTACTAATTTCCTAGTTGAAATGTTAGATCTTTTGTTGGGTCCTTGATAAAATGGATTTTCTCTTGAGGTAGAAATGTGATTTAGCTCTTGTTTTTATCAGGGATGTTATGTAAGAGTATTTGTGTCCTCTGATGATAACACCTTCAGGGGAATCTGGAATATGAAAAAAAGGTTTTTTTTCTTTTTCTCCTCTATAGAAGGAATTGAAATCCAGAATCTAGATCAGAGAGGCTACATGGCAAACATACGATAAATAATGAATGAATCAACAAATAAACAAATGCAGGACTAGTCAAAAATTAAAAGCACTAATGTCTCATCGCTCTGTGTTTGGGAAACTTGTCAGGTTATGTTATGGGTCTAGCTAAAGGAAATAGATTCTTCATATACAATAGAGATGAAGTATTAATTAGTACAACTCTTCCGGATAGCAATTTAGCAATACTTACTAAGGCTTAAGATTGTTCAAACTGCAGTAATTCAATTTCCTCAAGAAGTAAGAGTGTATTAAAGACTTTATGGACAAACAGACATCACATGTAATTGTACCACACAGAACATCCTAACTTGTTCTGTAGTTTGACAGATAAATGGATTGATATTCATGATCTAGCCATCCAATGGAATAACCTACAGAGAAGATCTTTCGACCCCTGCCCCTGAGGAGTCATCAATCCCTTTACAGCCCCACCAGCCCCCACTGCAATGAGGAAGGGGCCCAGGCTCTCCAGCCAGAGTGAGGAATGGGTGACAGTGTTTAGTACTATTGTCAGGCACTTACTAGATGCTTTCTACATTTTCTCTCATTTTGTTAATCCTCTTAAACTCTCAGTAAGTTTTATTGTAGTTTTTTAAATATATATGAGAAACTAAATTTTAAGTTCATGGCTGGGGAGTAGCAGGCCTAGGATTCTGACTCGGGTCTGCCTGAGTTCAAAGCTTATGCTCATATAAGGCTGCCTCTCTTGGGTAGATTTATCCCCATTTTAGAGATAAGGAAACTGAAGTACAGAGATGTTCCTTATACATTCTGAAAAATCCTTGAGGTGGGCTACGAGAAGGCCAAGGTATTGTGTAGGAGAGAAGAGGTCAAGAGGGGGTATGCAAGGAATGTCTCTGTGTCCCTAATATCACAGGCTCCTCCCACCAGGGATATTTGCTAAACAGGACCACAGAGTCCAGCATGAAATAATTACAAAGAGAAACCAGCTGTGGAGGAGGAAGGAGGTGTCCGTCTTGTCTATTTAATGGGGTGACTCTGCCTTCTGACGATCTGCTTCTCTCCCTCTCCAGCTGCTCAGTCCCTTCCTAGCTGCCAACAGTATGAGGTTCTTCCAACCGTGAGCCACTCATTAGATCCATCCAGAGGCGCAGCTCTGGATGAAGAAGGGTCAGTGCAAGATCCAAGGATCTTGGGGGGCAAGGGAGAGAGAAGGCAATGGTTAACTTCCTTCCTTCCTATCCTCCCTCCTTCCCTCCCCTCCCTCTTTCTTTCCTTCTTTCCTTTTCAAATGGCAGAACAAAGCGTTATTCTCAAAACGCCAGGGGAGACTGTGCTTTTTGTTTGGGCCTGGGAGGTTTTCAAAAATGCTACCTAATTAAATTTTCTGGCCAAGAAAAAACAGTCGCCAGACTCCAGGAGAACACACAGTATTTTCCTAAACTAGACAATGCTATCATAATCTGAACATGGCCAGGGAAGAAAGGTCCAAAAAGTGGTTTCATTCAGAAGAAGAAATGCATCAAGGATGACTGGGAATCTACCCCCGCCAAAAGGAACAGGGCACAGCCAGGGAGGGTCGTAGGGCCTGTGATGGGGTAGGCACATGTAAACATCTGTATTAAATACACAAAACCTTCATGTGGAAGGAGAAGACCCCTATGTGGACAAAATCAACTGTTCTTTATTTTGTTTATCAGTTTTATTGGTCATATATCCAAGATTCATTATATAACTCTTTCAAAATAACTAGATATTACAAGAATAGTTTACAATTCAGCTCTGATTGCACAAATACTTGACACAGAAACCATTTTTACAAATACATATGTTTTCTTATAAGAATACTCTAATAAAGAAAATAAGTCTCTATATGTCTTTCAGCAAATCCTATGCAGTTTTTTGCCCCATTCAACCACCATTTTGGGTTTTCCATCCTGGCATGTCCATCACATCCAATAAACCAAATTACAGTCTGCTGCTGCTTCTCATTTTCAACCATTACTGAGATTCATACTGTTTAAAGAGTTTTTAGGCTTCTTTTTCTAATCTTTCCTGATCTGAAGGAATTCACATATTTAAGCTAGAAGGGGTAATTTAAGCACCATTCCTTCTAAATATAGCTTGCAGCAATTGGTGCTTGGTGATCTCACTCCTCACTTAGGCAAGACCAGCTAGTAGCTTTATCCTGCACTGCATCAAGCAGGAGGGATACAGTCCTTGTATTCCATATAGTGTCTAAACCTCAAAAACAAACCCTGGAAACAGTAAGAAAGCTGAAACATTTGCTAATGATTAGAAAAAAGAACACTTTTAAATTCAAGGTCTCTCCTAAGTTGAAGATATATAAAAGAAAGGATGTGACAGTAGTTCTGTAAAATACTGAAAAACTAAAAAATGTTAATCATGTAGGTCAATGGTGTATCATTTCCAAAGTGCCAGAAGATACAGAATCTTAAGACGCTAAGGCTAGCTGAACTCAGGATCTGGCCTCCTTCTTACGCAATGGCTTTGAAATAGCCTAATACTCCCTTGCCCAGGGGCACGTCATCATTCAGGCCGGGGGAACTTTGCAGAATACTGACCACGTTTACCTGAAGAGACAGGTTCTACCGGGGGAAACATTTGGCATTTATGCTATTCCTTCACTGTTACTGAAAAGTGTGTCCACTTGGCAAAGCTTGTCTTACTTTTCAGGTAGCATGAATGAAAACCAAGAGACTAGCAGTATTCTACAGTCAAGTTCCTGAGTACTACGCTCCAATTATCCAATATTCTTAAAAGGATTCTTTAATCAAGCCCTTGTCCAGTAAGAGACTGAGTACTTGGGGACTGCGATATGTCCCATTTCTCTTATATTTCTCTTGATCTCTCTTTCTCACCCCAGTGTAATAAACTGCTATAGGTTTTTACCAAAATACTGTAGCAGTAGTTGGAAATGAGTTATTTTGCATTACCAAAAGTGTTCAATCACATTGTAACGGGTCACATTTGCATACAACAAGATGGCCAAACAATGTCTACTGCAGTGATTTTGCAAATTCAGCATAGTCAATGTATCCATCATTGTTCTTGTCATCGTCTCTTAGAACACCATCTATTAAGTTAATCAGTTCAGCTTCACTCAGTGGTGGGGCCTGTTCATTCCCTTCCTACAAAATACAAATTAGACAATGATGAGTCGCACATTTTACTGGAAGTGCTTAGCTAATGTCTAAAATGTCCGTGCTCATGTGTCCAAAAGCTCCTTCAGTGTAGCATGTGGCTACTGCTAAGAATCCACAAACCATATATCAGATAGAGTCAATTCACAACAATGCAATTTAGATTTATATTTGCCAGTTAAAAAGAAAGATGCAATCAAAGCAGGCCCTTGCTTATTTGTTCTAAAAATTACTTTTCTTTCTTTTCTAATTACAAAAGTAATACACGTTCGCTGTAGAAACCTAGGTCTGGCTTACCCAGAATTATGAGGTTCCTAATTCCCCCAAACCCACAAACTCATCTTAGAGAAAAGCTCACAACCCAGGCTCTCCTGAGGGTCAGCTCTGGGCGCAACATGCCCTTGGAAAGTGCAAGCAGTCTGCATTGGACAGCATCTTGGGGTCAGAACAAGAAGAGGAAGGCACTGCCAACCAGGAGAACCTGTCACAATCTCTGAGGTGAAGGTACTGGCCCTGCTCCAGAAGCAGATATAGCAGGGCTCACTGTGCCGAGTGCTAAGCTAACGCTGTTCGCGTCCTTGGCTGATTCTTCCTTTGCTACCTCTCCTGTGTGCAGCCTTTGCTCTCCTAGCACCACCAACAGCCTGGCCTGCCAGGACTGCTGAATCCCAGGTTCTCTCCCTGATGCAAGTCTCTCCCCACGTCCATCAGTCTGCCTCCCACAGCCAGAGATCTTCCAGTGGCACTGCCATTCTGCCGCACGAAGCCATTAGCGCTCCCCACTGTCTTCCCAGCAAACCCAAATCTGCTCTCCCGGCAGCCAGTGGGAGCACACCCACATCCCCAGCTCTGCCTCTCGTCCTCTCTACAGACTGCGGTGTGGCAGAGCGGGACAGACACTAGACCTGGAGACATAACATCTTGCTTTCAGTTCCCGCACCTCTAAACTGGGGGCAGTAACAGTGCCTGCCCTGCCTACTCACAGGCTGTTGCAAAGATCGAATGAGCTCTCTAACCCACTTGAAAGTGCTCTGTAAACGGCTTCATATGGAGAACTGTATAATATCACACAAACCCTCAATTATTGCTGAGTCCCTTGACCCCTTGGTCCCCTGGTTCGCCTCTCTTCTCAAATAAAACTTCTCCCCTGCTCTGCATTTTCATGTGGTCTGTCCTTTAGGCGCTGGTTCTCAAACTCCAGGGTGCAGCAGAAATGCCTGTAGCACTTGTCAGAGATACCAGGCCCTGGGACTTCTGCCTCAGTAGGTCACCCTTTGCGAGAAGGGGCTTCGAACAGGAAAAGGCAGAATGGAGTGGTGAGCAGGAAAAGGAGATGCAACAATACTGTTGTACAAGGACCGCACAGGTCATCAAGACTGGGGACTGAACTACTGGGGGTGGGGAGGGGAGGCTTTCCAAGACGCTGTCCACTGAGCCTCGGCCGACCTACCTCCTTATGGACGTGAGTGATGGCTGTGGAGAGCTCTAGGCCATCAAGCAAATTATTGCCGTCATAATCATGCATTTTGAAATAATGGAGCTGCAGTTCTTGTGGGGACATCTCTGCTTCTGGTTTGTTGATGACACCTTCTAGATGCTCCATGATATGCCTAAAAACCAATAGTTAGACTCAGACCACTCGGCAGCAACCCCAGGATCATGCCAAAACTTTAAGGACTGGAAAGTTCAAGATCTTAAAGTTCACCCATCCCAGAAAAACAAACAGAAAGAGTGGCAGAACACACTCAAGGATGAGAGACACAGGCAAGGCCATGAAAAGGGCAAGGGAAAAGTCAAACAGTTCACCTGTTAAGCTGGCAAGACTATGGGTATTGTTCCCTCTTTATTGTTAGAATGCTGTTATAAAACCTTTGGGGGCTAGCAACTAAAAAAATGTTTTTGAACCAATTTAAGGATAACAAATAATGTGTGAGACTAACTGGCCCAGGACAAAAGTTGCGACAAATAATTCAATGTTTAAATGTGCCAATAAAAAAAGAAAAATGCCTGGTCAGTCAAGAAACCTTGGTTCCAGCCTGGGTTCTGCCACTACTCCTCGTGTGTACGTGTGAGAGAAGGTGCATGCGCTCACGAGTATGAATGTGTGTGTGGGGGGGGGTCTCTACATCTGTCTTTGGTGAAAGAGAGAGACAGACTGAATTCAGGCAAGTCATTTATCCCATCTGGGCCTCAAGATCCTCCATTTATGAAACGATGATGGAAAAAAGACTGCCTGATTTACAGGTAGCTATAAGGAGTATCGTTCTTGAAAAATGTCAAGGAGTTGTACAAATAATAGAGGGAGGAGCGGATGGAGGGAGCCATCGCAGCCAGCCATAGGCTGCAGCTGCAGAGGGGAGGCCCTGGGACCCCAGCCCTGGCTGAATACGTACTCTTGGTCGTGCACTGTATTCTTATCCAGGCCCACACTGCCAGGATGGGAGAAGCTGGCCCCAGGTTCCTCAGCCCCGGCACCTGGAGCACAAAAGGCGCAGAGCAGGCCACACAGGAAGGGGGTTCTGAGCAGCTGCAGAGATCTCATGGTCGCCAGTACCTGGGAGGTGGGGAACATAGAAGGTGCAGGTGAAAACACCAGAGCGAAGGTTCTTTCAAAACGTGACACAGCATGCTCCTGGGGAAGGAACTCAGTGAAAGGAACAAGACTACAGAAGACTGGGCCTAAGGCCAGCTCTTCCACTAGACTGCGGGGTGACCTTGGGCACGCCAAGTCCCCATCATTCAGACTGGGGGTGGGAGGGCTCCATGACATTTCCTAAAGTTCCTTCAGAATGCCAAGCAACTCATGAGAGCTTAAAGGGATTTAAAGATTATTCCTGCCTACAAGAAGCTTACAGTCTGGTAAAATACTTCCTATGGAGAGCACTAAAAAAGGCACAAAGTGAGGTGTCCTAAAGAAAAACAAAACTGAAAGTTTAGAGGAAGAAATTTCCTCTGCGTGAGGGAAAATCAGGGAAGGCTAAAGGACCTGGGGACACTTCTGGGCCTGGATGGACGAGCACACACTGGACGTGCAGGGACTGAAGGACTAAGGCAATGGTGTAAGCGAGAAGCAGGTCAGACAAGTGGGAAAGAAACTCCAAGTGGTTCAGTTGGGGGGAGCCTAGAGGCTATGAAGCAGGCAGAACAGTGGACAAAGGACACAGAGATTGACCCGGCCATATGGGATATGGCTTTGCACACTAGGCCAAGGAGGCTGAAATTTCTGGAGGATGAATGGGGAGCCACTGAGGATTTGTGAATGGGAGAGGAGATCGGAGCTAGGTTTCAGAATGGCTCATCCAGCAGCATGCGGGGTGGGGTGGGGGGCGTGGGGGGGGCACTATTTAGTGGAGCAAGACCAGAGATAGGAATGTGGTATTAAGGAAAGCGATGAGGCAGGTCACATGAAGGCCTTGCAGCTGGGGACACGGAGAAAAGGACATTAACCCCTGCCTCGTCCATCTCCCAGGACAGTAGCAGAGGCAGGTAACCCAACCACTGTGAAAGATCACTGGAAAGAGTTACGTAGACATTAGGAGGCCATCAAGTACTCCTGGAGTTTGGTTAGACTAGAACTGTGGTCAACAAGACATAGCACCACTGCAAGCTCCTGACGGCAGGAGTGCTTCGTTCCCAGCGTTCCCCACCAAGGCTCAGGCAGGCCTCTACTCACTGTGTGCTAAACTGAAATTCCCAGTCCTTCCGGGGGCTTATAGACTGACCTCAGAAAGGAAGGTGAAGGATGGCCAAGAGACCTCCACACCAACACAAAGACTACACTTTCACCTCCCAAAAGGCAGCGCAGATTCTGCTGGTAACAAGGCCAGTGATTTCTAATGGGCCAACTGTAACCACAACCCCAAACTGACAACAGTAAAGAGAAAGCTTAAGGTACTAATCATTCCCTTGCACCCACCTCAAAGAGCTCACTCCAAAGCCGCTGCTACCTCTACTCCCTGCACCTGAAGCTGAGAAGTAGCTGTGTTGAAGCCCCCTCACCCATCCCAAAAGGTGGGACTCTGGGAGAATGTCATCCCTACAATGTTTGGGAATATTACCCAAACCCATTTTGCCTATCAACAGTATCCCCTCCAACAGTCCTCTCCCTAAGGGAACAACCACCACTGGGATATAACTTCCAGAGGGCCAAAAAGCAGCATCTAATCTTACTACCATACAGGGACATCATAATGCAATGTCATACTTAACAATAAAAAAAGATTTTTAGGGGCACCTGGGCAGCTCAGTCGGTTAAGCGTCTGCCTTCGCTCAGGTCATGATCCCAGGCTCCTGGGATTGAGCCCTGCCTCGGGCTCCCTGCTCAGCGGGAGCCTGCTTCTCCCTCTATCTCTCCTCCCAACTTTGCTCTCTTGTTCTATCTCTCTCTCTCAAATAAATACTTAAAAAAAAAAAAGATCTTTAATATCTTTTAATAAAAAAGAGCAGATTGCCAAAGTCTGTAAATAGTAATTTTGTAAGAAAAAAAAAGTGTATGCATATTTCATATATAGAACAATGACTAAAAACTGTTAAATATTATTTTCTGAATTACGAGGTGTGATTCTGATTTTTCTTTTTACTTCTCTATGAATTCTAAAGTTTCTACTAAAAATATGTTCTTTCTTTATAAATATGTATTTAATGTAATTTACCCCATTATTTTGTTCCAATATGTATGGATGGAATTTAAAAAAGGGGCTTTCATTTAATTCTCATCTCTAGAAAATAATTCAGGAACAGAAACTACATTTCCAGTTTTATCAAATAAAACTGTCCTGACCCTGACAAGGCCACTGCCACTGTACCTGGTACCTGAAAACAGGTCTCAAGTTACTCCCAGCAGTTAATTGCCCAGGCCAGAGCAGAACAGCTTGGTCTAACCAGGTATCTTAAGCGTTCTGGGACAGGAGAGACCAGAGAGGGAAGCCAGTTCCAACCAAACCTCGTAGACTCATGCACAGTAGACATCTCTTTCTCCAGCAAGCCTTCTTCAATACCGAGTCTGGCTTAGGCATTCTTCCCATATGCTCCCCAGTGCCTCCCTTCAGAAGGGCCCTCACAACTGCTGTGAATTTAACCCTGAGAACTGCCTGATTACTTGTAAGCGCTCCCTGCTGGACTGAGCCCTATGAGGGCAGGCACATTCCCAGCATCAGGCACAGTGCCTCGCACAAAGGCCGGCAGTTCTCAGCCTGTGTGCCATGGTCCTTAAGGGTTGGGAGGATTCCCGCCTTCACAGATATACTGCCAAGTTTTGATGTCAATGTAACTGAGCATAAACCTTTTTTTTTTTTTTTTGAGATATCTATCAGACAGTTGAGTGATCAATGAACCCATAGCACCATTTCCTATTACTATACGGTTGGAGGCTTAATATATCAGATCGCGTGTGTGTGTGTGTGTGTGTGTGTGTGTGTGTAGGAGGGACAGGTTCTATTTAAATAACACCAAAAAGCAACCAAGTGATAAGCAGTACAGTAACTATGTACCCACATTATCCCTCCTTCAAGGGAAGCAGAATAAAGGCCAAGAACCACTGGTTTTGAACATGTCCTATCTTGGTTCCCTGTAGCAGTTTTCTAACAGGACACAACAAAAGCCCAATCTACAAACACAGAGGAGAAACTCTCCCTCCAAGTGCTACAATGAAAACAGGGAATCTGACTGTCATCTAACCAAATAAACTGTCACATTCCAAAAGAAATATAAGCAACTCCCCTTTGCCTGAAGAACATGTTTCATCACCCATACTCCAATGACTTAGTTCAAGGCCATGAGCAAACAGTAGATAAGCCCCAGCAGTTCCCAGGCTCACTGCCTCCTCTGAGAAATTATAAAGGCCAGACTGGAAAAAAATCCAGAGGAGAGACTTCTGAAGGCAACTTCAGAACCCAACCCATGCTTTGAGACATCCCTCACAAGGAGGAGCCTCAGTCCCGGAAGGAGAGTGCCAGACCATGCTCAGTGGTGGGTCTTTTGCAGTGCCTGGAGTGTAACAGGGCTCCCCTCGCTGATCCAGCAGCCTCTTCCAGGCCCAGAGCCTTTGCTCCCACTGTTCATTAATCCATCCTCCCTCTCCCTTCCAGGCCCCTTCACACATCATCTGGGGATTCTTACAGCCACACCAGTCATTCTCTCCTCCCTCCTGAGTGCAGCCTCTCACAACATACAGTCACATACTGTTCTCTTTCCCTCCCTCTGTGAGGGCCAGGGGCCTATCTTATCTGTCTCTCCCTTACTCTACCAATCACAAAGTGCTAAGCTGCCCAGAGAATAGCACACCTTCACATCTGATTCAGGGCAGTGGGCTCTGGCACCCAGATATGTTGTTCCCTACCACAGAAGATCTGGCCTAACTTAGAAAAATAACTTCCCTTTGGAGCCCTCCCACTAGGGCTGGCCTGGCCAGCTTGGCCCACCCTCTCCTCCTATTGTCATTAGCCCCATCAGCAAGTAAGAGTTTGGAGCCAGCCTTCCTCCCATCAAGATTGCAGCGGCTGTTAGCAGCTTTTGTCTCATGCCAGTGGCCCTGAGTTAATTCACACTCACCAATACCCAGACATCCTGTACCCAAAATCAGTGCCAAAGAAAAACTCTGAACAATACTTCCCATTTACCACTGCTATGGTCCTGGACTGAAGACAAGAACAGAACGAGGTTCCTAGGCCAAAGAAATTGCTACATGGGGGGGGTGTTCAGAATTGGTTCTGAAAAGCAGAGCATTTAATAACTTGATCTATATGTTTATTTGGAGAGCCCATGGAGTGGCCATGCTTCATTTGTGCATTCAACCAACACACTCCTTACTAACAGCCTGGTGCCACACAAAGTACTGAGGACAGAACACTGACCCGGATGGGCTCCTGTCACACTGATTACAGCCTGGTGGAAAAGAGAGACCAGTAAACAGACACCCATGGAGTACCACAGAAACCCCAACCCACACCTGGAGTAACACATGAAGGATAAGAAGGGTTTTTTCAACTAAAGTGTAGTACTTCAGGCAGAAGGAAAATAATGTAACCAGCACCTAAGCCTATAAGAAACTTGGTCCAATCCAGGAACTAAAAAAAGGCTCGGTAAGGTTGAAGACATAGGAGAGGCAGATGGAAGGATATGATTAGCTTGTCTGAATAATTCTGCAGGTTGGCAGGGAACTGAAATCTGGTACTCTAGGATAAGCAGGAACTGTACCTGGTCCATGTGATGAGGGCTGTTTGGCCAGGGGACCTAATCCATTGGAGCAGAGTGGGGAAGAGAACTAGAGTAAGGCAAAAAGAGTAAAAAGACAGTTCATGAAGGGCCTATATAAGCTCTGTTTTAGAGCTTGGAAGAACAATGAGAATCCACTGAAGGCCGGAAAGGGAATGGGGGAAGAAGGCGTCTGGTGACACGATCAGATCTGTTTTAAGATCTCACTCTGGCTTTCCAGTACATAACAAACTACAGAGGATCAAGAGGTGCAGTCAGGAGGCTACTGAAGTAGTCCAGGGGCAATGGTGGCCTGAACCAGCTGCAACAGAGGGACTGTGCATCAGGCGCGAAGTGGAAATACCTAAGATGAGATGTTCGGTGGATTCGATTGAGTGGGTAAAGGGGTGCCGTGCCGGAGGGGAGAATGACGCCCAGGTTTCTGGCTTGGGCGCCGGGTGCTTGGCGGTGCCATGCCCAGATAGAGGATACAAGAGGAGGTCGGCTTCCCCTGCCTGCCACTCGCCCGGCCCAGGACCTGTTTGTTGTCTCTCCCAGACCAAGACCTGGGTACCGGCAGGAGACGGAGATTAACGCCCCAGGCCTCTGTGCAGGTCGTCCAAGAAGGCAGGGACTTGGCCCCGGCCGGACCCATCTGGCTTCAAAGGCCCCGGCGGCCCTGTTCCAGGAGAGACGATCTGCTCCCAGCCGGCTAAGCTTTCTGAGGCAGCGACCCCCACCCAGACCGCTCCCGCCCTCTCCCGCCCCTTCCCGCCCCCCGGGACCTGAGCCCAAAGCCCCGAGCCCCGAAGAGGGGCGCCGGGATCCCGCCCCGCTACGGACCCCTGAGTGCTGCCCCACCGACCTCATTACCTAGGGTTGGGTCACGGGCCTCGGAGGCCGAAGCCCGGGCCTCAGGTGTTCTCGAGCTCACTCACCCTCACTGCCCCGTTTCCAAGCAGTTCTCCCCAGACGCGAAGCCTTCCAACATGAGCCTCGCCAGCCCCCGTCCTCAGAATGCTTTTATTGGCCCCGCCCCCGACCCGACTCGCCGTGCGCACGCGCGCCCCCTTCTGCCCGCCCATTGGCGCCAAAGAGCCCCGCCCCTGCCCGGAGACCCGCAGTGTGGACCGCTGGGGTGATTCCACGTGTAAAGGGCTCAAGCCCAGCAAGGGCCAGGCAGACGCAGTTCCTTTGCCTGCCTTCCCTACAGCGACAGTCGGCTCGGGTCCGGTTTGGGCTACCTGAGCCTTCAGGGTGTCGGCAGGTTGCTGGGAATGTAGGAATGTAGTCCGGCGTGGGACGTAGGATGGTTAATGCGGATGGGTCGGACGCTAGAGCTGGCTTCCAGTCTGCCTCCACCTTTACAGGTTCCTCGGTTCCTCCGCCTGCAGGTTGGGAAGAAAGATAATAGGAATCCTAATTCCTCTCCTCATGAAACGCCTAGAAGACGCTGGAGCCAGCCACGGATCCTGCGATTCCAAGAGTGGCCGACTAACAGCCTTTGCTTGTTGTATTCCACAAGCCTTATCATCTTCGATACCTTTCACTCGTATTATACGAGTCCCACCAAGACTTTATGGGCAGCTCAGTTCAAATACCACCTAACTTGTGCAGTTAGTGGAATCACCTGCTATCTTAGTAGAAGACAAAGCACTTCAAGAAAAAAACAGATGCACAAACAAAAGAAAAGCCCCGCATAATGCTGCTCTTACAACTTTCCCATATACAAGACTGTTCCATGAATATCCACTGACCAGACGGGTAAATGAATGTGGAACTGTCCTTTTTTAAATCCCCTATCCCACTTGTGTTCATAAAGATACATAATCATCTTTCATATGAATCTGGATCCAGAAAGGGAGAGACTGGGAGAGAAAAAAAGAGGTTAAGTAGATGATCCCAGAACGCTCCCTGCTTTCTGCTTTAGCAGATCAGGGCCTTGAAAGTTGGCCAAGGTAACTGCCATTGACAGTGCCTCATTCCTTCTCCCATCTTCATCTGAGATTGAAATCTGTCAACCCTCTTCCAGAGAAAAAGCCCAGGATCCCAAAGTCCCTGAAGAAACCCTGTTAATGCAAGGCCCCCTTCTTTCCTTACTCTGAAGTTGTTTGACCTAATTCATTCTTGAGCCCTGCATCTGCCATCCATCCATTCTTCCATTTGCTCATTTATTCATTGATTCAGTAACATTTCTTGAGTACTTCTTATGTACTAGACACTGTGCTAGAAGCTACTAGATATACAAATAAGACATGGTCTTGTGCTCTCATTCTGTTTGCCTAATGCTTCCACTTTTTCTGTGGATCTTAGCCTCTATCATCTCTCTCTTGAATTACCAACTGCTCCCTCTCTAATAGACAATTCCCATCATCATATAAGCTTGCTCTCTGGTTTCCTCCCCACCATGCTACTGAAACTACTATCTCCATGCAAATACAGTGGTCCCTTCTCTGTTCTGTTTTAACTTGCCCTCTCAGTCCTATTCAACACAGTCAACCACTCCCACTTTGAAACACTTTCTTCTCTTGTTTTCTAACATCATGCACTCTTAGTCCTCCTACCTCACTGGCTATTCTTTCTTGGGTTCTTTTCACTGGCTTATCTTCTGCTCAATCGATAAATAACAAAGCACCCAGGGTTCTTTCCTGAGTCCCTTTTTCGATCTACCCACTCTCCTTATATGATTTCATCTAGTCCTATGGATTTAGGTGCCATTTATAAGCAGGTGACTTCAAATTTTTCTCTAATGATGACCTCTCCCTGTAATTCCTAATTCCTCAAGAAACTGCATACTTGACATCTTTACATGAATGTCCAGCTGGCATCTCAGAACTTAACTTGGCCTCCCGCCAAATTAATTTACACCCCGCAAACATGTACCTTTCTGTTTTGTCCATGTTAGTGAATATCACTGCCACCCATTTATTTGTTCAAGCCAAAATTCTAGGAGCTATTCTTGTTTTCCCCCAGCTCTACTGAAGTATGGTTGGTATCCATGAAACCATCATCTGCTATCTGGACTACTGGGAGAGCTTTCTTGTCCCCATTCTAGTTCATGAGTGAGAACACACATTAACTTAAGCCATTTATAGGTGAATATTCTGTAACTTGTAGCTGAACCCATTCCTAACAGGCAAACAATTCGGTACCACAAGTAGGACACTTAAAAACAGACACTAAAATGTGGAATTAGCTAATGAAGGTTATGGTAGCCAGTGGTGAAGACTCTCTATCCCAAATTGGAAAGTTGGTGACCAACTTGTTAAGCTGTAGTGAAACTGTCAAACTGCCGTCACTTGCTGTGCCTTGGATACAGACTGCATGCCAACCAACATAGTATTGCAGGAGAAATCTCAGGAACAATATAAAACTTTAGTGGTGTTGGCTTTTTTTTTTTTTCCTTTAGTAGCTTTCAGCAAAGTCCTTCAAGAGAGTGACAAATCTAGATTAGAGATATCTGATTTGAAAGTAGAGATTAAAAATAAGGCCTTGGTAAGACAGGAACCCCTTACCGGCAGCTTACAACTTAAATTGGCCAAGTCCCACAACTTGGAGCCTCACTGGTCTGAAATAATTTTCTTTGTATACCCAAGCTGAAGCCAGGACAAGTGGAAACAGGGAAGGGGCAGCTTTATCAGGAGATAAGACTGAGGCCCAAGGTAGCAAAAATGGACTCAAGGTGGCATCTCTCCCTGCAGCTGTTGTTTTGAATTGTCTCAACTATAAGTGAGCACACAAAAAAGAAGCCCCTCGAAGACTTAAATATTCTAATACTCCGTTTGCTGGTTTTGCAAAAATAAACACTTGAGGTATACACAAGAAACTAATAAAAGAGGACAGAGGTGAGAATAAGACCTTAATTTATTTTTTTGTATTGCTTTTTCTTTTTTTAACCAAAAAAAAAAAAAAGTTACCTGTTTGGAAAATAAATTTTTTTAATCTTTAATTAGAAAACCATTTAAAAACTACATAAGTTATTTGGTTGTGATTACTCATGCATGGAATTGACCAGAAGCCTAACAAATGATTGAGGGAATCATTTGTGTCCCTAAAGTCTCAAGCCTGGTCAACATTGGTCTGTTACTGTTTAACCCTTAGGGCAATCCCTGGATTTCTGAGTTCCCTCCAACAGGGAGGAGGATACAAACACTGTGCATTCCGCACAACCAAGAGACAGAAGTGAGGAGCCACCAGATTCCCTAATGAAAAACTTAACGCACTGCCACGGAAGAGATCCCTTGCTCTATCTGTCTAGCAGGAAGTGATGTGGGTTAGTGAAGGGGGTATATTATGCTTTCCATTCCTTTTTTTTCCCCCCAAAAGGAAGCTTTCGTTGTTCCTTCACATTGTGCATTGAAAGTGTTTTTATACATTTTATTGTTGTACAGTTGTAGAGGAAAGACACACTCCTGTTTTCCCTTACTCAGAAACACGATACCTCTGACACCAGGTACGTGGATTTTTCTCCGCACAACAAGCAATTCTCTGCAACACCAGCTGAGTGTACTATAATGCAATTCAATTCTGACACTAACTGGACTTAGTGCAGACCCCACAGTTTAAGGGCTCAGTCCATAAGACTGTCCCCCCACTTCAGATGACAGTCACAATTAGTAGATCCCCAGGTTACCTACAAGTTCTGTCTGACCTGGCTACAAATTGGAGGTTCCCACAACCCCTTCTTTGGACTTGATCATTTGCTAGGATAGTTTCCAGAACTCAGGGAAATGCTTATGTTTGCCAGTTTATTATATTATAAAAGATAGAGATGAATAGCCAGATTTGGTAATACAGAGGGTGAGGTCTGGAAGGATTCCAAGCGCAGGAGCTCCTGTCCCCGCTGAGTTGGGGTGTACCACCCTCCCAACACATGGTCACAACCCAGAAGCTCTCCAAATCCTGTACTATTGGGATTTTTATGGAGGCTTCCTGACATAAGCATGATTGATTATTATTAATAGGTCAATCCCCAATCCCTCTCCCCTTCCTGGAGGATGGGGAGTGGGGCTGAAAGTTCCAAGCTTCTAATCATGGTGTGGTCTTTCTGGTGTCCAGCCCCCATGCTGAAGCTATCCAGGAGCCCACCAAGAGTCACCTCATTAGAACAAAAGACACTCCTATCACCCAGGAAATTCCAAGGGCTTTAGAAACTGTGTCAGGAACCAGTCAGGAACCAGGGTCAAAGATCAAATATTAGAACAAAAAATGTTCCTAGTGTTCTTATCACTTGGGAAATCATAGAGGTTTTAGGAGCTCTGTGCCAGGAGCCAAGGGCAGAGACCAGCATATATATTTTGTATTAATTCACAATAGTATACACAAAGGAAAGTACACATATAGAAAAGCATACAACTCAACAAATTTTCGGAAATGGAACACACCCATATAACCAGCACCCAGATTGAGAAATAGAACATTACCAACACCCTGGCATTCCCCGTTGTGTTCCCTTCCAAGTACCACCCTCTCCCCAAAAGGAACTGCTATCCTGACTTGTAATAGCACAGAGCCGTTCTACCTGTTTTTGTATTTTCTATAAATGGAATCACACAGTACATACTCTTTTGTGTCTGGCTCCTTTGACTCAACATCATTTTGAGATTCATCTATAGTGTGTGTAGATCATTCTCATTTCTGTATGCTATTCTCTTCTACTGTCTCTGCACATCTGGGTTTGAGGCTCTTACAAATAATGCTGCTTTGAATGTTGTGGAACATTTCTTTTGTTGCACATCTGTTCACATGTCCATCAGGTATCTACCTCGGAATAGAAACTGCTGGCTCATAGGGAACACAGATGTTCGGCATTATCAGATACTGCCATAAGTTTTTCCAAGTGGCTGTGACAATTTATACACCAGCAAGAGCATGGGACAGTTCTGTTGTTCCCCATTCTCCCAACACTTGGTACTGTCTTTGTCATTTTAGCGGAAAACTTAACCTTTAGCTTGAGTCATCAGGCCATGAGAAACCACATTTGGACCTGAAAG